TTGACCATAACTTCATTAATATTGAAGATAAATATGTCGTGTTTGGACTCATTTTAAAGGATTTTTCACGACGATTACAAATATGTCAAAATTGACGTTGACATTCTTAACCGGAAGTTGACCATAACTTCATTAATATTGAAGATAAAAATGTCGTGTTTGTACTCATTTTAAAGGATTTTTAATGAAGATTACAAATACGTCAAAATTGAGGTTGACATTTTAAACCTGAAGTTAGTTATCATATAATAGAAGTTTTATAACAGAAGTTAATCTAGTGTTAGTTACTTTTCCGCACTTTCTTTTCATTGTTAACGTGTTTTTAGGGTCATTTCACATTGATTAAAAAAAATCGTCGATTTTTATGCCACATGATGATTCTTGAATTTTTTCCAAGTTTCTTAATATTTCTTCTGTTAAAAAAGAACGTTCTTAAATTTTAACGTGTAAAGTTGTAACACTTCGTCCTTAATTTCATTTTACAATTTTTTAAACTTTTATTTTGTAAGTTAGTAACTAATAATCCGATTTCGACTTTGATATGTGATCTTTTTTAACAAAAGAAAAAGAAATAATTAAGAAACTTGTTGGTAAAATGGATAGGATAAGGGATGTTTATCTATTTGTAGAGTTTCTGAAGATGGCCAAGGGCCGAAACTAGTTAGACTTAAATTCTTTATAAAATAGAAACCAGTTTAAAAGTACAAAATCAAACTCTGGATAATTTTCTTCAAAAATTTTTACACAAAACGTCATTTTGATTCTAGTATTTGTGATTAAATTTATGTCGCGACTTACAGAAACACCCTGTATAATCGTAAAAAGACTGACCATGCGGATTCTGTGCATGTGATACCTGTTATCAGTATTCTGTGATAAAAATAGACTGTCTATTCTGAGAAGTCATATTTTTAGAGAGATGAAAACGAAAATCTCGTTTTTCTGAACCCTTTTCGCTTAATCAAGTGATGCATAACGCGGTCCAATTACTCAATTAACTAATAAATTATAAAATATTATATTAAAATTACCGCCAAAAAGTAAACAAGCTATAGCTTTTTTAATATCAACAGCTCCATAAATAGATGGTGCTATACTATTCGCCAATCTTTCATAAATATTTGGAAGTGCTGCCATTCGGCGGAAGAGATCTTCTTCTTCTGCAGTAACAGCACCTAAACTTGCACTTCCTAACCCATCATGATCAACTTGAATACCTACAACTCTCATATATGGGATTCTTACTCCAGTAATAGCTTTTTCACGCCCATCTCTCTAAAATTTTCAAAACTTACAGTGAAACAAAACTGAGAACTATTTTTTATGTACCTTAGATGGCCTCCCAACTTTTTTAATTGAATAAATACCAAGTATAAAAACCCTGTTTCCAGGTACAACTCGTTCGCAAAGATATCTATCACAATAAAGTGATAGGTGCCTGGGGATTTCACCTTGAGGGATCCCATCAGGTAATTCTTGAAGTTTTAACACTTGAAAATCAACACATTTACATTTATCTGGAATGATGAAGTAAGGATCTAATGGACATTTAGGTTGTCCAGCTTGCTGTTCGCTAAAACAAAAAAAATTATAACATTCAATAACATTTTATTAAAAGACTTACGTGTTACATTTTCTAGGCATAACATAGCCTTCCAAACCAGGTTTTAACGCCAGATTTGGGATGATATTTGCACAGGAACGGCATTGAATAGCAATTTTTGTTGCCTTGGCTTTTATTCCAGAAGCTGAGATTATAATTCCAGGTATTTTTACTAATTTTGAAACAACATCAGACTAATAATGAAATAGTAAGAGTTAATTAACAAGAATTAATTATGTAATAATTATTATCATACTTTCATTGCCCTTAAATTTGATGGGTTAGCATCCGAACTGATCATAATTTGTATATCTTGAACTGTTTCTTCACCCTCAGGTCTTGGAACTGTGAGTTCATCAGCAACTTCTTTTGCTGCTTCTTCAAAAATAGCCAAATGTTCTGTGGGTTGTTTTAATAGTTTATCGGCTAATGTTTCATCAAAACTTCCCAAATCTTCTATATTTACTTCTAAGTAATAATTTTGGAGATTATAATTTCTTTTTAAGGTATCTCTTAAATTTTTAAAATTAATTAAACTTTGTGGAGGAATTTTTTAAGCAATTTGTTACCTATATTTGAAATTAAAGTTATTGCTGTGGTACTGTCTCAGGAATTCTTTAAATTTTCTTTTAATTCCTTGTAAATTGATGGCTTGATTGTTTCCTTGGTTAATATCCGGAGCGAAATTATCGCTGTAAAAAATTCCGGGATCATCAAAACCTTCCATTTTTTTATACAATATATCACGAAAATATAGAAATTTTATACAAAACACTTTTAGGTTAGTTAAAAAGTTCAGTTGAGTTTAAAAGAGCGGGAATGAAGTAGCATTACCAACTTAAAGATTACAAAAGTTCTTAAATCAACAACAATTTATACAAGAATAGTTTAGATTTTAATATATAAAAGAAATTATGTTGTTATAGACTTATTTAGTAAAAATAGGAAGCTTTAAAGTTGAAAACATTTTTCAGTAGCATCCTTTATTTATACCAAATTATACCTTTATACTATTCACGTTATTAAGGTTGCCTAACTTGGTTGTAAGAGAGTTGTTTAAAATAATTAAAATGTAAGTATACAGAATGTTTGATAATATGATATAATAATATGATAATAGCATGGTATAATAAGGCAATTTGTTATCTTTTCCTGATTTAATATTTTTCAGGGCTCCTCTCAGCTCATTTATGATAAATACTTTGAAAACTGAGAGCTGGTAGGTGTATTTTACCACAAGGTTTTAAGTGGCTTTTTTAACCTCCTTCGTATGTTGTGGATTATTCTGGATAGTGATACTATGCTACTTGCAATTTGGTTTGGAGTCACCAATGGGGCTTTACGAGTAAGAAGGCTACTCTTGCCCAGCTTTCTCAGATACTCCTTCTGCTTTAATTTTTAAAATCCAGTGATTTGATGATTACCATCCCTTTTCTTTGGCCTTGTTTGTCAAGATTGATATGGCTGTACAGGGTGGTTCAAATTCGATGTCCGAAAAAAAGTAGTTTATATGTCATGATCTCGTTTTTCGAGAAACTGCTAATGCCAAAAACCTCAAAACGCAAGTAAAACCAGCAAGTGCAATTATCTTGGTTATTATTATAGGTGGAGTATTATAACTAAGGCATTATCAGTCAAAAAAAAAATTTCAGTTTTAGATTTTGAGATATTATGACATTTTTCGTTTTTTTTAAATGGAAACAACCACTGATTATTCTAAATTATTCTAAAAATAAACTTTTTTTTAGTGTCGTGTTTTAGTGTAAAAAATTAAATTTACAGTTTCCTGTAAATTACGGTACTATAACTAAAAATTATTCTACTAAAAATGTATATAAAATTTACTTTATTTTCTAATCTGTAACATTCTAACATGTTAAACTTTTCGTAATTTTCGTAATCCATCTTAAAAAACAGGACTTTTAATTTGACACTTCAGAAAATTTTTGAATACAAACAAATAAATGTTGCTACGTTTATTTGAATTAAATAAATATTTATGAGCGCCATCTATCAATAATTTATTAAGTTATTTAATAATAATATTAAATATTAATAAAAAATGTGAAATAATGCAATCTATTCCAACTTTTGTGTAAAACAAATATAAATTAAATAGTTCAACAAATGTATTTGTTTCAAATATCAGAAATATGGTTTTTTTAAGTTTTAGTTATAATTTACAGGCAACTGTAAATTTAATATCTTTGACGACACTAAAAAAAAGATTATTTTTAGCTTTATTCTAGAACAATAAGAAATAGACCTATCAAACCCCATATTTTTGTAATCAGAAAAAAACAACGAATTTAATAAGCGAATAATCAGTGGTTGCTTCCATTTAAAAAAACCAAAATTGTCATGATATCTCAAAATATAAAAACGATAATTTTTTTTTGACTACGCCATGAAATTGTCTGCACAAAAGTGTCCATATAATGTCTTAGTTATAATACTCCACCTATAATAATAACCAAGATAATTACACTTGTTGGTTTTACGATATTTTCAATTTTGGCCTCTAGGGGAAAATCAAAAGACGATAGCGCTTTGAGGTTTTCGGCATTAGCAGTTTCTCGAAAAACGAGATCATGACATGTAGGCTACTTTTTTTCTAACTCTTATAGTTTTCGAGTTAGCCTATTCGGACATCGAATTTGAACCACCTTGTATACATTCATTATTCCATTCAGGAATATGTTCTTGTCGGTATTCTCTAGGAATTTCCTTTTCGACTGTTGTTATTACAACTTTCACGAACGTAGTTCTCGCTAAGAGGTGGTATAGTATTATCTTGTCAAGCTCTTCAGAGAAATTCTGAAAATCTTGAAGTTCCATATACCTAGGTCGTGAAATCCTGTAAGATGTGGGAAAAACTGTAAAATTTCAAGCGGCCATTCTGCTAAGACTGACTTATACAGAGTGTCCAAATTTCGATGGGTTTGCAGGGTATCTCAGTTATTATGAATGATAGAAAGTTGCGGCTTTCGCGAACCTGAGCTACTTTTTTGTGAAACTTACAATGGCGCAAACCAAATTTTCATAGCCCTCTTCGTTTTTGATATACAGGGAGTGTTTGAAATTTACGATTTTCAGACACCTCCTGTATCTCGGCTATCCGGAAACTTA